TACCAGAGATTCAAGTGAAATAGAAACTAGTTATTTAGGTAGTCTTCAAAAAGATTAGACAATTTTAAATAAGATTTTCTCTGTTTCTTCTGATTGAGGTAGGGGATTGATTACTAGGCTGCAACCTGCTGTATAACAAGACCGTACTGTACCAAGCAGGGGACCAACAGTAAGTTAAAGCACTATAAGATCTCCTGTTTTCAATGTAACAATTTCTTGATTAGAAATTCACTTGATTGATGCAAACCTTTACCTATTTTATAGAGTTCCCATAAGGTTGTGTGTGTGTGTATGTGTGTGTGTTTGTGTGTCTTTGAGGGAAATGGTGCTGGGGATCTTCCTAGTTTACCATTTTATCATCACTCACTTTTCAACAGCTTTTATTTGAATGGACAGTTGAACATGGGAAATAAACAAGCAACATGTCAGAGGTGTATAAGGTGCCAGAGGAAGAATGGAGGCTTGCTTGTTTCCTCTGGGAACAATCTAGAAGGGTTTCTAAACAATGACTAATTGAGTCACGTTCCGATGCCTTTGAAAGGACTAGAGGTTCTTGGGGGTAAATTTAGAAATGTGAGCAAAGAACCCATATATTCTCAAGCAAAAAATATCTAACAACATTAGCAGAAAGCATGAGTGTCAGCCATCTTGTTAATGGAATGGTTCTATTGATGCTATACTAAGCTAAGGGAAAAGACATCTAAAAGGGAAAAAGGTTGCGATTTAAAGTCCTATTAATAGTAGGCACTGTACCTGATTATCCTGAATCTGTTTGTTATGAAAATGTCAAGATTGTAATTTTACCTCCAAATACAACCCCAATGTTTCAGCCGCTTGACCATAGATAGGGCTGCCAAGGTCACATACCCCCACCTGACCCTTGATCACATTCAGTCAGCAATTGATGCAGATCCTAATCTTGATAAAAGGCAGTGCTGGAAATCATTCACAACTACTGACACAAAAACATTCATCAAAGCTGCAATGGATGTATTAAAATGAGAAACCATACATGTCTACTGGGAGAACTTATGAAGTTATGAATGATTTTAAAGGCTTCCTAGGGATTGATGGAGAAGTTAGAAAAATCATTTACATAGCAAGACAAGTTGGTAGAGAAGGATTTGCTGACATACTTAATGAAGAAGTGGAAGAACATACTGAAGGCCAGTGACAATTATTAACAGTGAGGAACTGGAAGAACTTGTGTGGAGTTATCTAAAGAGGAAGAGGAAGGAGAAAATTAAGCAGAATGAGCCCTGTGGACATTACTGAAATTTGCCAAAATGTTTCATATTGCATAAACATATACAAAATACACTCACACCGACACTAGGACAAAATTGTGGAGTATGATCCTTGTATGGAATGCAGCAGGGTGTTCCTGTATTAAAGTCACCCAGATGGTCATTAATGGCTTACAATCTCTTCAGCAACACATTTATGAATTAAAAAGAAATAGAAAACAACTTCCAATTACAATGTTTTTCTAAAAGACTTTGTCAAAAAAAAAACCACCCTGCAACTATCAAGGATCCCCAGTTATTTACATCATCTGTTCCTGATATCATCAACATTGTTGCATTTTGATCCAGAATAACCCAAAATGGATGATCCTCCTTTCTGATGTAAAGTCAGAAAGTCAAGAGTAGACTAATCATGCATCACAGTGCTCATGCCATTTACTTCATTTTGTCTAAGCACATCATTACCGTATCATCTCACATTGTCACAAGAAGGTATTGATGCAACAAGGTATTGGGGGCAATATTCACATAATTTTTATTATAATGACGTTGTTTTCATTGTTTTATTTCATTAGTAGTTGTTAATCTCTTACTGTGCTTAACTTTATCTTAAGTATGTACTCATAGCAAAAAACCATGGTGTTAGTGCTAACCACAGTTTCAGGTATCCATTGGAGTTCTTGGAATATATTCCCCGCAGATAAGGTGGGACTACTGTAGTTTATGTTTGGACCAGAACTTGATGGAAAACTTGAAATTAAGATTACAGCATTACTCCGGTGGCAGCATTAGGGAAGATGGAATGGAGCTGGGCAAGAATAGTCACTAGTGAAGAAATTGAGACGCGATGGGACAGAGAGGAAGGGATGCTTAGAATTGAAGGAATCCACCAACTTCTCGATGGTTGAGTGGGAGAGAGAGGCACAGATGGCAGTGCCATTCCTGAGACTCAGGGCTGGGGAAGAGGCATTGTGAATGATGAATGCTGTTTTGCTTATTCTCTTAAAATCACACAAGATGATATGATGTATTACTTTGTGACAAAATAAAACTTAGAAATGAGGCCCATGTCAATGCCCTCATTGGCCACCAGCCCCAATCCCTGTTCTTCCCTTAGGTTACTTTGTAGTCAGCTTGGTGTGTACCCTTTAAGGCCTCCTTCTGTATACTTAAAAACATCTGCCCCAAGAAACTAGTATCACTTTTTAGATAAATAACTTGCATATTTCATGCTCTGTCCCTTGATTTTCCCCCTCATAGAACTAACATTTTAGAGGTTTTTAAGTCAGTACATATAAAGTTACTACATTCTTTTTGATCAGAGTATAGACTCACTCACTGTCCCTTTTGCTGGGTAGTTTCTTTCTCAACTCTCCATTCTAACAAGTGATGCTGCAATGGATATACTTTTACAGATATCCTTGTAAACTACTATGATTTTTTCCCCTCTGGGAGTAGCTAATGAGAAGTGAAATTTCTAGGTCCTAGAGTGTACATCCTTACATTGGTAGCAATTGCCAAACTGCCCTTCACATGACTCTGCAGTATACAGGAACACCCCTTAGCCCACACTCACATCGACTCTTGACATGATGGTGATTTTTTTTTTCTTAGTGGTACCTAATACACCATTGCTTTAATTTCCATTTCTTCAATCATGGGTGAAATTGGGCATGGTTTCGTTGCCTTTTGTATGTTTTCTATGAATTGCTTGATTTTATCTTTTATCCACTAGTCTGTTGGCTGTATTTTTCTTATGAATTTATAGGAGTTTTAAAAAGATATTTTATCCCCTAATCCTTCATCTGTTTTATGTCACCAATATCTTCTTTAACCTCTTGTTTATATTTTAGGTTTGTTTATGATGTGTCATTAATTTTTATGGAGGCACATTTATTCATCTTTTTCTTTATGGCTTGTGTTTGTTAGGACTTATGAAAAGCCTTGCAGACACCTATTGCATAGGCATATTCACCACATTTTCTATTTTTTTAAGCCTTCAAATTGAGATTCCAGTGGGAAATTCAAGTAGAATAATATAAACAGCAGACGATGGTTGCAGAAAGGAGAAGTCAAAACCTGAAGATACCTGCTAAGTCTTCTTCAGAGTTCGAAACCATAGGCATAAGTAGACTATCCAGAGAAAGCATGGAAAACTAAAGTATAGTGGATAAGGAATGCAGATCTGAGTACCAGCAATATTAACAATGGATTGAACAAAAGGATATTGAGGAGATGGAAAAGGAATGGCCCAAGGGGTAGGAGAAAATCCAGGGAATGATGGGTAAAGGAACAAAGGAAGGCAAGCTTTAATAAGGTTTGGGTAGCCACTGGCATTGGTGATGACATCCCTCGACCTACTTTTGTCACAATGCTTTACTGTGTCTTTTATCAAGGAGATAACTCTACAGAGCAGGCAGTTGGTCTATTTTTACATTCGTAGAGCTAAGTTTGGCCTACCCACATTGACATACATTCATCCCACTTGGATCAGTCTATAAATACACTAATGAGACTAGAAGGGCCTGGTGATTGAATACATTTTGAAATCTTCCCCTTTCTCTGAATAACTGCATCAAAACAAATCTAGGGTCTGTCAAATGTATTCAGAAATCACTACTACCTTTTTGCTTAGGTGCAAAACCAAAGATGAAGACCTGGCTTCTGGTCTCTTTCTCTTGGTCTCAGCCTTAAAAGAACCAAGGTGCTATCCAGCAAGGTGTAACTTTAGGCTTTGTAATTATGGGGCTTTGACTGGGTATGGTGGTTCACACCTGTAATCCCAGCAGCTCGGGAGACCTAGGTAGGAGGATCGAAAGTTCAAAGCATGCCTCAGCAAGTTAGTGAGGCCTAAACAACTTAGCAATTCCATGAATCAAAATATAAAAAGGGCTGGGGATCTGCCTCAGAGGTTAAGCATTCCTGGGTTCAATATCCTGTACCCCTAAAAAGAAAAGAAAGATGATGCTTTGCTTATAAAACACCTACTCATTGCAGAGGACTTTGGGGTATGTCTGCAAAGGCCTACAACTCTTGAATGGACCATTTACTACCTTGGAGACGTCCTTTTAGTTATTTTTCTCCCGACATTAGTTACTTTGTGAATATATGAAGCACTTTTCCTTGAACTGTCAATCTGTAAATTGTAAAATCTCATCCATGGGGTAAAGGAATGGAATTATTTATGTGATAATTTCTACCTCAGTTTATGATGAAATTACTCACTCAAGTTGTAGTTAACTCATAGACACACTTTCCCCAGTGAGGATAAAAGTGGAGAGGGAATAGTGGCTGTTCTAATCTGGATACTTAGGGATGTTTGACAAGCGTCTGGTGTGTAACTTTATGAATGGAGCAGAAGTTAGGGTCTTTGTAAAAAGGAGAAATGCCCCTCCCCCCAAGGAGTACAGGAGAATAACTGGCTGGAGAGGAAGGGAATAAGTATAAAGTTGTAAATAGGATGTCAGTAGGGACATCTGGTGGATAAGGAATAAAGTTGGGGCCTGAGACAGGCAATGGCAGCTAACAGAGGGGCCATGTGGTATGGCTCTGAGCAGAGACAGCACATGCATGTGCCAGGGAGTGATGAGTAAGATCAGGAGGTGGACCATGAGCAGATCAATTCCCCATAATGGCAGTGTTGCGTGAGGACCTTGGTGGCAATTCCCTTTGGCTGCCCAGACTGTTCTATAGTAATTGCGTGGTGATGTGGTAAGTTCACATCCAAGCTAACACAATAAGAACACTCAGGTATTGCAGACAAAGTAAAATTTATTGAGACGGACAGAAATGCACCTACTCAGGACTACAGTTAAGCATTTGCTCTTAACCAAAGAGTTGTGTTCACATTCCAGATAAGTCTACGTGGAAAAGCATTCAGAATACTAGTTTTTCTACATCACCATTTCATCTACAATAGGGACAACAAACTGACACTTTGGATTTGATGGGCTCTTGTTACAACGCTACACATTTAACAGGGACAAACATCAGTGACTTTGAGAAAAAGGTATAAAAAGACCAAAACCACCCACTGTAGAAAGGGCTCTTGGATGTTGCTGTGCAGTGTGGTCAAGATAAAGCGGAACTGAAACCAAATGTGTATGGCATCCTGGGAAGAGCAGAGGGCAGACCTGGAGACACATGTGGTCACTTGTTGCTGGGCGGGGGGGGGGGGGAGGGAAAGGGGCATAAAGGAGGAGAAACTGATAAACCCCTCAAATCCAGTATTAAGGTATTCCTATGCCTAGAAAATATTTCTAGAAACAAAAAGACATTTACATGGCAGACAACTAACCATAGTGGAAGAAGATTCTGAGGCTCAAACTGGCTGCCACAGTAATGGAATTAAGTAAAGAACTATTTATAAAATAAGAATGAAACTATTCTCTCTACAGATTTTCCCAAAATGAGTGAGAATCCAACTCAACATCTGTCTCAAAAAGGGACTGGATTATCAATAATTTTATTTTATTTTTTTAAAATCAATCTCTTAGATATACTTGGTCACTGTAACTAAAGGACCCATTTGAAAAAAACAAAAATTTGACTTCTAAGGATTGGGTAACTCAAAATCTCAAAATCTAAAGGACTTGTGGAAAATACTAAAGATCACTAAAAAACCTAATGCCGACATGCTAAAGTAAGGCATGAAAAGCATTGTTAATGTTGCTTCATTGGTTTGGGGTCCAGTCTTACGAGGGCTTTTTATTTAATATTTTAATGAATCAAAACATCTTCTTGGAATATCTGTGAAAATGGCATCTCATTACCTTCCTGGGAATTGCCTACAGAGCACTCTTCTCCATCATTAAGTTAATGCTAAGGATCTTTAAGTGTCATCTTAATTTGATACTTGTCATAAGATAATTAGGCAAATTAAAATCAGTGGTTCACTCTGATCACAGAGGTTTCTCTAAGTGAAATCAATTTGTCAATTTTAATTTGTTCTCTTGTGCATTTTTCCAAGCCTGAGGAAATAGTAACAATGGTTTTCTTTGATGGTCTAACCTGAGATTCTTTAATATGTCTTGATTTTTAATGTACTCTATTGTAATTTAGCGGCAATTAAACACCCGTCTTCTAAACTATGCTCTCAGAGTTTTGTCTGAGAAAAAAATATGGAAACAGAGGCGATGGAGTTGAGATCCCAGTGCAGAGCTTGCCTATGGTCTCTACTTGGGGAGAATATACACAGATCCTCAGGATCCTGGCTGTAATTTGTATCTTCCAAGCCAAAGGAGTTAGCAACACTAAGTATATTCATTTTCCATCTGAGACCAACTCAGAGGAGAATGCCACTTTGTCCAGTCTATCGCAAGGATTGGAAAATGCTAATTTTAGTAGGTTACTACATACCAAATAGTCAATTTGGGGTTGAGGGCTGGCCAGCCACACAGTGAGCATGATTTGGCCAAATATGCTTTTTGCGCCTGAGTTGATGTGGTTGTCTTGTGGCTTGGTTGAAGCTCATGTGAAAGACCAGAGAAATGTGGCCCTGGCTGGTTAGGGTAAGCGGGTCTGTAGAAAACCAATAGAGGAGCTTATGGAATGGGGCCATTGTGAAGACTACTCTTTGGTACTTGTGCAAGAAAAATCCTAAAGGATATACAGATGATGCCCCTACCAAATTTGGAACTAGACTCCAATCACGAGGAAGAAAAATGCAATGGTGAAAAGCTTTCATCAGTAGTTATCCAGACATTTGTGGGGAGCGGGAGGGGGGGGACCAGCACTTAAAAACCTAGCCCTAGCATCCATGTGTTTCTGTGAGATTTTTTTTTTTAGGACTCCATTTGGGACTCTTTGCAAAGGATGGAGAGTGAGAAAAAAATAATCTATACAACTTTTGTACCCTCATCACAATTCATGGATAGAAAGGTGGGAAAGCAAAATATTAAGAACCCTAATTGTTTTTCTTCTAAGGAATACCATGGTATTATCTTCTCAGAGAACAGGGTGAGTGTGTGCACGCCTTAGAAAAAGCCCTTGAGTAGGTAGGGAAGGGAAGGGAGATGCAACAGACAGCGCTGCTGCAGCCTGAGGGGGGCTTTGAGCTGAAATGATGAGGATGGCTTGTGAAGCTGCCCAAGTGGGAGTTGCATGGCTTCTGCAAGGAAAAGGATTCAGGCAAATGGAGGCTTATCCAAATCAAAGAGCCTTCCAGTAACTCTGCTAATGCATAGAGAAGAAACCTCCTCAGCCTGCAGGCTACAAGGGTTGACTGTTAGTGCAAAATAGGACTTTGATACAAATTTTTCTTATTCCAGAAATTGTGTTCCAGGTCTGGACAAGTTGACAAATTTGTTATTGTTTTTCAATGAATTTTTAATAGCTAACCAGACACTTTTTCTCAGAGGTGTGTGTTTGTGCAATGCATGTACATATGGTCTCCCCTGTACATGCATATGTAAGCACATGCAGAAAGAATCATTCAGACACCAATTTTTAATAAAGAAGATGAGTTCCCCAAAGGGACTCTTTGACTGAATTAAGGCTGTTGTTTGTAGACAGCCGGGTATAGTGATGTGGAAAAAAATCTTTTTAATAATAAACACCAGGGGTGGTGGGGCAGGAGGAAAAGGTACAGTGTGGTGTGTTTTCCACGACATCTACAGGACACAAGAAAAGCACTGAGACACCGTAAGGCTGGGAACCATGCTGTGATAACCACCAATGTGGGTAATCAAAAAGGGTCTTTGACGTTTCAGAGGGTGGGGGCTCCCTGCACTGCTGGAATTCCAATAAATCACATGCTTGTGGCAGAAATCTCACAGGAGGGAAGGAGGCTCTAATTAAGCCAACCATTCTCTTGTCAAAAACATAAAAAATTTAAAAAAAAAAGTAAAACCCAAAACAACACCTTTCTCCCACATAACTGTATGCAAAATCAGAAAGCTCTGGGGACAAGCAGTTGACTTCCAAACCTTAGGTTGGGTACAGAGAGCAACAGTGGAGAAGACCTTGGTGCCTTGGAGTCTTAGATACAAATGCAGGAACAGGAAGTGTCTTGCAATATTGAGCAAAACGTATGTCCTCTTCCTCATGGGGGCACTACCATATGTACCCAACCTCGTCTTCTTTGTCGTCATCCTCGTCCTCGTCGTCCTCTGTCACAGCTCGGGTGTGCACCCTCAGCTTCCCCCCTTTGTCCTTTGGTCCCAGCTCCCGTTCATCCTCTAGGTCATCCAGCAAGACCACGGAGCCACCACTGCCAAAGTCCCCGGAGGTTTCCTGCTCCTCTTCTAACACGGGGAAAAAAAAAAAAATGGTTTCAGGTTGGTTTCTGCTTATATCTCATGTCCCACATTGGGAGGTTCCTTCTGCCTGAGACTTAAATGGTAGGGTACAATGCATGGAAATTACTTCTGATGATGTAAATCTCATCACCACCCAGGGAGGGTGAGTCTCTCTGCAGCATGGACCATAAGCTGTTTGGATATGAGCCCTCAGATTCCTGAGTTGATTCTACATTCTTAGGAGATTTACAATCCTAAGTGAGAAGTGACCACAGCCTATTGCTCTGTGCCAGTGACAGTTCCCTGTCAAAAACTGTTGTCTAACCCACAGGTCCTACCCCTTGCAAAATTAGCAAGGGGTGAGCTCCTTCGACTTTCAGGTTCATGTGTATCTATCGTAAACTTGCTGAAGACCAGAGCTAACACTTGAAATTCTTCTGTGATCCTTCCATGTCCAGGATCCACAGGTCACCCAGGGTCACTGTGGAGTTCATGCAGAAGGTCCTACTCACCACAGCTCACAGCACCCTGTTTCCTGGAGCCAGCCAGCTCATTCCCGTATTTATCCACACACCAGCACTGCCCTGTGCTGCCATGGCACTGGGTGGCTTTGTAATAGCCGTCCTCGTTGCACCTTGGTATGAATGCCCCTAGGGGAACAGAAGTCCAACTTTAATCAGAGAAGCACAGACACATTTAGGTTTAATCCCATCCAAGACAGAGAAGAGAATTCACACATCAGGACAAATATTTGCTGCAGGGCTGGCAGGAGAGAATGTGGCTGCTTGGTGATTAGTCAAGATTATAGGCACCATGGCCTTTAAGAGCCCAAATGAATTGAAATCAGTTTTCCAAAAGGCTTGATAATAGCTCTCAGGTATTGAATGCTTACATGAATTCTGGGCACTAAGACATGCACATATACAAATGTGTATACACACACAATCTCCATGAGTCTAAGGCATATGTATCCTTGCTACCTTTTAGTAAATAGGAAACTGAAATATGGGAAAATTAAGTAATCTGCCTCAGGCACCCTCTAGTAAATATCAAGTCCAGATTTATGTCAGTCATTCTGAATCTAAAGCAATGCTTCTTCAACTTCTATAATGAAGAACGTACTTGTTTTAACTTCCAATCTATTGTGGACCAATCCTTGGTCCAACCACATATGATGACACTGCTATTAAAGTTTCTAAATGTATCAATTTCTGTGCTTACTTCTGAGTGGTAATGTGTTCTGTAAATTACCACCAATCCACAGAGCACATAGTTGCCAGCCGTTCACCTTCCCTGCCATCCTGCCTATAAAAAGGCAATGATAGCTAAGAGCTTTCCTTGCATTATTTCATAGAGTCATCCCAGTATCACCAAAGGTGTCGGTGCTGTGTCTACCTCCCTGTTTACATATGGAGGAAATGATAAACTACTTGCCCAAGGTTAGTCAGGATTCCTTCTTTCATGAATTCTTACATTTCCCTTTAAGTGGGTACTACTGTTAATTGCTTTTATTAATACTTGAGAAAAATCATGGTTTTTATCTTTATATACTATTAATGAAATGAATACTGGAAAACATTTAGAATGCTCCTTTCTGTGGGTTTAATTTGTGGACTCTTTTATAAACATGTTATTATTAAAAGCCTTTTTTGTAAAATGGAAAAAAAAACCTCCTAATTTATTTATGAAATGATTTGGATAATTTTCTATATGCTGGACATTTTATATAAAATGAGAGTGATATCTTCCTTGAGGATTTTTCCATAAAAATATTCTGGGCCCGTTGTTGCCTATTTCAGCAGGTGAGAGCAGCATTTTTATTCATTTCATGGTTTTGACTTATTGCTGTCCTCTCATTTTTGTGACCAAAAGTTGGTAACTGATAGTATCCATTCCATCTAGGTTTTCATGATTGTTTTAAATTGTTTATTTTAGCACTAGTTACCAAACTTTGGCCCCAGGACTAGCAACAGAATCTGGTAATCCCTTAGAAATACAAATGCTGGGGCCCCACGCTCAAAGCACTGAGCCAAAAACTTGAGAGGGTGGGGCCCAGCAATCTCTGCTTTGAAATACCCTCCAAGCTGTTTGAGAGCCACAAATCCAGAGTTCCTCCCATTTGTATCACTCAAATATTTGAGCTTTTTCACCTCATTGTCCCAGATTTCTCCATTTCATTAGTTTGTTCAAAGAAACCACTTCTGATTTGCTGTTGTGTTATTTATTATCTCATTGTTTTATGCTTTAATCTTAATCTTTTCAGTTTACTGTATTATAGCTTGTTAATTTTATTTTGATCTTCATTTTCCACAAATGCACCAGAAGGTAAGTAGATTCCTCTAAGCTTCACCTTAGCTGTTTCCAATAGGTTTTCGTACACACAGTGCTTTTGAGTTTCATTTTACTTCTATTATTTATCTGAAATTTGTTGACTTTGTGGTATAGTCCATGGAAGGACATTTCATGTATATTTGGAAGACTGTATACTTTACGCCTATCTGCAGGGATACATATATAAATATGAATGATAATTTGCTGTTCAGTTCTTCTCTATCCTTTTTTTGTCTAGTTGAACTGTAATTTTCCAAGGCTCTAAGTATGATTATGGAAATGACAGTTCTTCTTTGCAATTCTATGACAATTTGTTTTAAAGTTGTGATTACATCATCAGTTTGATGGTATAATAGGGCAAAAGGAACATTTTGACAAGATGATACTCTTTGCTTTTTAGAATGCAAAGTATTTGATTTTGTCAGATATGAACACTTATAAAAAGGAATATTTTCTATCTTTAAACTTCAGCTTCCATGGAATTATTTTAAGTCTAACTTTCTTTTAAAATACCAATCAATAGTTTTGGTCTCATAATAAATGAGATTGGCCCATTTACATTTATTGTGATGATGGATGGCTTACTCTTATGTTTCCCATTTCCTGCCTTCTGTGGAAATCATCCAGTTTAATTTTCTCCATGTTTTCTATGCATTTAAAAACTATTTTAATATTTTTGTGGTCACTTTTAAGTTTTCCAGAGAAGCAGTTTTTTCCTAGCAATATCTAAAGTTAATTTATACTTTCTTACTGAAGAAACAAACAAACAAAAATCCCACACATATTTATACCACGTTTGTTCATAATAATCTGAAATTTTAATTATGGTTTGCTATTTTTGCAGGGGTGGGGATACTGGTGGTTAAACTCAGTGGCACTGAGACTGAGCCTCATCCCTATTTTGTATTTTATTTAGAGACCAGGTCTCACTGAATTGCTTAGTGCCTTGCTTTTGCTGAGGCTGGCTTTGAACTCAGGTTCCTCCTGCCTCAGCCTCCCAAGCCGCTGGGATTACAGGTGTGCACCACCACAGCCAGCAGTTTGCTATATTTTTGTAGACTATTTTTATTTAGAGTGAGCAGCATGTCATTTCTTTTTTTTTTTTTGTAGTTGAATTTGTAATTCTGGGATAATTTGCCTGGTGGAGTGGATCCCTTATTGATATTTTAGTAAGTCTATGATTGTTAAGCCTATTGACTCTCAGTTTGAGAATCACTCTGTCATCACACTTGAATGATCATTGGGATAAGTTTAAAATTGTAGGTTCAAAGTTCTTTCCCTTTAGCACTTAGGAAATACAATTTTCTTTAAATTAGCTTTGCCACTAACACGTTTGCTGTCCACTGACAGTCACTGTGATTGTTTTGCAGTTATTGTTTTCCTAACAAGATATCTGAGTGTGCTTCGTGACTGTGTGCTCATCTTCTGTGGGAGGATTCTTAGTGTTACCTTCTCCTCAGCCTCATGAGCACAAGCCCCTGCTTTTGTGGCTTTCTACTCCCTAATCTTATTTCTGTGTCTTTTAGAGGGACTGTGTTTTCAAATCTACTTTCTATTTCATGGAATGATCCCAGAAAAAGAATGTGGCATTTCGATAAGTTGGAACCAGAATTTAAGCATTTTACTCACCAGGCTATTCCAAGATGACCAGGGTCTCAGAGATCAAATGAGATCCTGGAGAGGAAGGTACCCTGGGGACCCTAAACACCATAATAAGCACTAAGGGAAGGATGCTGATGCCCCAGTTCAAGGCTCTTAGGTGCACATCCCAGTGTGCATTATCCCTAGTTTTCAGGGAATGGTAGAGGAAATAGAGATAGTACATGCTGTCAATAGTCCCCAAAACCAAGGGGAAGAGAAATTTGTGAACAGATTCTCAAAGATTGCAAAGAAAGAGAACAAGCAGAGAGTAGGGAAATGTTGATCCTCCCCCTGGAGCTATAGTTAGAAAACAACAGCACTCAATCGACCTAAAACAAATAAATAAAAATTGGGCCGAGCCCCTGGGTTGGTAAGAAGCAGGTGCTGCACTAAATCTATAATTTAACAAGATTACTGCTTTTTCTAAGTAGGGAGTAATTATAACTGATTATAATTTGTTGCTTGAATATCCCTGAATATGGTTATTATATTAGTATGGTTATTATATTAGATTTCCCCATGCATAAAATAATTGGTAAGCAAATAAATGGCTTTTTTTTTTTTAGCCAGTATGAACTCTGTATATACAAGATGTGAGAAGACAATGTATCTTTCTCCTGGTAGGAGAAAGGCATTTTATTCACCTGTGCTAGGGTAAATGGAAAAATGAGACATCTCAGATGACAGACCTTATAATTTTCTCATTAATTATTAACTAATGAGGCAATAACAAGATATTCATATCCCATGGAAACTTTTTAATAAATATATATATATAAACACACACACACACACACACACACACACACTAATTGCATAATGTCATGTAGATCTTAGGTACGTCTTAGGTACTGAAATCCAAAACCTTATCTCATGTGGAGGAACAAGATCAGCCAGCCTAAGTCCCTGCACTGGAAAACAGATGCAGGAGGAATTCAGCCACTTTGTCTTCAGGCCAGAGTGATGTCTTTTTCACACAGGCGAAGAACCTAGACTCCAAGTTAAAAATCAAGACATCTTTAGAGACTTTTCTGAGTTGAGTGGGGTGTTATCAGAAGTCAAAGGTATGAAGCAAACCAGGGAAGTAATTTTCAAATGTAGAAGGAAGAGAGAATATTTACTTTGATGTGATCAAGAAATCGAGAAATCTCCAGAATCCATAGCCTGCTACATTTTACAGTCTGCAAGAAAATTTGCCCGTTTCCTTCAAATAACTAGATAGACTTCTGAAATGGCAGGCTGCTTAGGGAGCGCACCTGCCTCTGCATGCTTAACAAGGAGAATTCTGGATTATTGTGTTGCAGCTGTCAGCTCTTTTTAAAAAGCAAAGAAGCAAAGCAAAGTAGGCTCCTTTTTTCAGAAAATGAGATTTGCCAATGTCTCGGTGACAGCCTCTTCTGAATGCCACCATTCCCCCAAGTGGTGGAGCCAGGGAGGCTCAAACAGGCCACTGTGTCACAGACTTGCATATTAGGGAAACAGGCACAACTTCCTTGCCTATGCCTTAACACTGGAGGTGAAATGAGCAATTTATAAACAGCCTGAGCACTTTCCTCCAGGGATTGGGTGAAAGCAGAAATAGGGAAAATTGCAGACACCCTTCAGCCCTCCCTGATAAGCTCTGAAGGGGGTACGGCTTGTCTTCCTCCTTGAATGGACAGCTTGCTTTGGAGACTAGAAGACATGCTCTCATTTATAGGCCTCATATGTTTAGAGCTGAAAAGAATATTTGAGAACTCCATTTGATGCCCCTACCTGAAAGAAGAGAAAGCCAAGATTTGCTGGAGCCCAATATCAGGCAGGACCTAGCAGGAGAGATGGTACTGGCTTTCCAGCTTGACTGAGCTGCCCATTAGACCCAGCCTGACCTCTGGTTCCTCCTGCTGGTGGAGCATGCAGCAGTACTCAGCCAGCCAGTCCCATTTATGGCCAGCTGTCTGCGGCATACTACCAGCTGCCTGTGAGAGCTTGGCCTGGGCCAAAATGAAGCATTTCCTTCATGAGACACTGGCCCTAATTGAATAACCATTGCAGGGCTGAACGTTACAAGGGACATGGATGGTTTAATTAGTTGTTTAAACGGGTGGCAAGAAATTGTACTTACCCAACAGGCTTTTCCCCTTGCTCAGCTTCTGAATTCTGTTCATTTCATTCTGGCAAGGGAGACCTAAAAAATAATTTATGGAAGTCAGTTTCCAGATGGTATAGATATAATCTCTAATGATTGACTTCACTCTGGATGTGAAATGCAGACGATGACACACCTGGGAGTAGAACTGCTCCATATGCTGCTATTACGCAACAAAACAAATTCAGGCCATTAGAGTTACTAATTAAAAAAGAAACCATATCACGAGGTACTTAAAATAGTATTTAGGGGCTACTTGCATTGTAACAAGAATTTTTCTTCCTTCTAGCAACTCAAGCAAATGCCTAGTGTCTAATAGGTGATTTGCAAATCGACTTTTTCCCTTTATATCAAGAAGGAAGATTTCAGCAAAGGCTCCTGTGAGCTGAAAACTGGGACTAAGGCTTATTAGTGGGTAAGTGTTCTGAAGCCCCAGACCAAATAAGCAGAGGTGACAGATATGTGATCTACCCCACCACGTCGTGCTACTAGAGGAAGAGGACTAAAACTACCCCCAGGACAAGGATGAAAATACAGAAGAGATCTAGAGAGGCAATGCCCATCACAGTTAAGAGCCTTTAAATTTAGGATCTGCCCCTCTGAGTACTCTGGCCAGCTTCTCTACCTCTGTCAGATACTAAGTCCTTAGTTATAAAATGCATGTTGTATGAGCCCCCATAAAACCATCAAGTTTCCAGAAAAGGACAGGTATAGTGGGGGGCCATGTGGCTCAGTGGGGTGTTATGGAAGTATGTGGCACCCTCTCCTCCCTAGAGAACTGATTTCCTTTCTAAACATAGTGATGCAACCTCCTTAAATCTCTAGAATTTGACTCTGACTTGCTTTGGCAGGTCTTGCATCTCTGGGAGGTTCTGCTATTTGCTCATGATCCTCTGAGCCACTGTTATAGTTCCCTGGACTCCTATTGACTCTTTCTACAAGTCCCACACATATGAAGGATCTAAGTGCCTATTTCTATCTCTTACTTTGTGAATTTCACAATACTATCTGGTCTTCCTGTGAGAGAAACAGGATATAATATGACTTCTGCTTTTAGGATGCTTTCAGAGTAAAGAAGAAAGATCCAAAGTGAAGACAACAAATACGAGTAGAACCAAATTCCATCTGTGATTATGAAAGATAGCATTTATTACAACAAATAACTACCATTTTGCTGAACTGTTAGAAATGTGCCAGGCAGTGTTCTAGAACCTTACAGGTCTTCATTGCATCCTCACAACCACCCTACAAGCTAGGTACCTATATTATTCCTCTTTTGCAAATGGAAATTCTCCTCTTTATAACTGTTTAGAAAGATGAGAAGAAACTGTGGGTGTTTGGAATGCTGCTCCTGAAAATGAGGAACATCAAAATCATTCATGAACACCATGTCAGACAATTTACTATGAAGCAAGTTTCCAATTTCTTTCAAATTGTCCTATAGCAATTTTTAAGACTCTTAAGGAAAAAATTAATCTGACAAAATCTACTCAAAAATAGGGGGGGGGAGATAAGACTCCAAAGTAAAACATGTTCACCATAGATTCCTCTAAGAAAGCAAGGATTTTAATGAAAACTAAACTGTGTAAAGCAAGATTTCAATGCACAGATGTATAGGCTAAAGGATAAAAATGACAAGGAAGAGAATTAGGCCATTAAAGAAATGAAGGCCACCTCCAAAGCAACAAAATTTATAAGAAACATCCATGTCATCAATGTTCTTGAGGAAGGATGAATCAGACAAAACAAAGACAGTTTTCAAGGATAAAGTTAAGTTCCCTGAAAACTAGAATTAAAAAAAAAAAACCTCAATTCAGTTCAAAGGAGCATAACACGTCTCGGGGAAAAAGTGACAGTGACACAGAACATGCTTTAGTTTTTCTCTAAGAAATGAATGTGTCTGAAAAGTAGAGAAAGATTGCCTTTAGTTTTCAGGAGAAACGTGGCTAGTACTTAACAGCAATTTGTACATACTAGCTGATGTCATTAGAAAACAAAGAAATGAAGTATTAAAAAGTAAAAGAAATTATTTGCAGACGATGGCATCCCATACCTAAAGAATCCAAGCAAACCAACCAGAATATCTTTATGAACACAATGAGAAGGTATAAAGATGGTTAGACATGAAATTGGTATTGATACAACCACTAGTGAGAAAGTTCAATGGAAAAAAAAGTAGATTTCACTTATGATAACAGTAAAAACAAGAGAAATATAATGGTGAGAACAAAGCTTAAAAATGTAACTCCAGTGGCTGAGGATAAATCCTTTTCTAAGATAAAAAGAGTGAGTATTATATAGCTAACAGGAACTTTTGTTTTAATTGGACAAATGGCTTCGAAAGTTCACAGAGGAAGAGAAATATATGAAGAGTCAAGAAAATTTTGGTAAAAATAAATTAATGCCATGAGAGAATTGGCCTACCCAATATTAGGACTTATTGTAAAACAACTGTGATGTAATAGTGTAGAACTGATTTATGATTAGTTAGGACAGATTATTCAGGAAGATCTATGTCTTATAGGTACCATTTCAAATTGCAGGGAGAAAGATTAGTCAATAAATGACACATAAGGACATCTGGATAACTATCTCTAGGGTTGGGGTGGGACTGAGTCCTTACTCGATTTTTAGATACTTGCACAATCTAGAGTGATACAAGATTTAAATAAGCAATAAAAACTAAAGGTATTGAAGAAAGCATAAGAGGACTTGTTTACTACCTTAAAAATTACAAATACCTTTCTAAGGCTAATGTAAGATTTATGATTTCAAAAAAGCAAAATAAAAAAAATGGAGACATTCAACTGTCTTAATTTCTCTCTAGAAAAAAAAATCTATGGTCAAAGGTGGGGAAAATATTTGCAATATGACTAAAATACAGTTCTAATTTCCTTAATATATTGTTTCCTATTAAAACACAAAAGTCTGATAAAGTGTATAATGAACATAAACATTTATAAACATTTCAAAAATAAAGGAAATCTAAGCATGCCACAAATATGCTCAACCTAACTCATGATAATAGAAATGAAATAAATCCTATGTGGAGAGAATATTTCTTTCCATTGGGCAATGATCACAGTTTGGTTATTCCATGGAGAAATAGGTATTCTTAGGTAGTTTGAGTAAGAGTAAAAACTAGTGTAACACTTTAAGGGAAAATTCAAAATAATGCCCAAATTAAAGATGTGTATACTTTTCTCTGGTAATTCTGGTTCTAGGAATGCATCTTAATCCTATAAATGTGTACACAGGAAATCATTCAGTGAAAATCCACTGAATGCCCTTTTGTAGTGCCCACAGTTTTACTATGTGTATATGTTGTCTATGGATATATGAATAAAAATATACACATAATTTAAATACTATTAGTAGCCATCCTTTTTTTCCCAGGGGTGGGGTCGGCCATCCCTGCCTGTAATAGATTGTCCTGGATACCTCACTCATGCTGAACCAGATTTTCCTGGGGCTTGGGATTAGAATTCCAAAGCAAACCAAGCTGTGCTGGCTCCTTAAACCCCAAGGAAATTGAGACAGATGTAAGTAAAGGGAGGCCCCAGAGCCTCCTAGGAAGTCAAGACATCTGCAACAGGATTCCTGCAAGTTCCTGTCTGAGTGTGGATTACATGAGATATACATATATTCTTAAATCTTGTCTTTTTCTTTCAATAGCTGCAATTTATTTATAACTAAAATGTCCTTGTCTAAGACACTCAAGTATAATACTTGCAAGTAACTTTCACTTAAGGGAACATGGAGAATTCACGTCACAATGGGGATTATAATACCCTTACATTTGCACAGTATTTTTCAACACAGAGAATCTCTTAATGACCTTGGGGATTATGCAGTGAAGGTTTATACACATCCATTTTACAGGTAAAAATATTGAGATACAATAGGGTTGGAGACTTTCCCAAAGAAAGAAATAACTCAAATAAGAGACTTCTTGATTATACTCTTAGTTTTTTAATGTACCGTGTTATAAATAAGGAGAAATGAGCCATTGGGATGGCCTTTAAATGGTATGAGCTCTGCAATCTCCAGCTGTGTCTTTCTGTGCACTGGTCCCTGTTTGCCTGCTTGCTATGTGATGAGGTCTTCCTTTGCACTCACTTGGCTGCCCTGGACTCTGAAGCCCACCTCCCTCCGGCCTTACCTCCAGGCTTCTGGAAGCAGTAGCACCACTCGTTGTTAGACAGCTTGCCATCCTTGAAGGAGTCACAAGAGTTGAAGAGTGGCTTGATACAGGGCTCGTACTTATCCAGGTAGATGGCATTGATCTCTGAGTGGTCAAGCAGCAGGTCATAGTTCATGTCCAACTTATTGAACATCCAGCCCAGGGAGTCTTTGCAGATGGGCAGGATGCTGGTGTCAAATCCTGCAAGAAAAAGGTTCATCTCAGCTACCACCCAGCCTGGCCTTTCCCACCCTGCCACTCCTCAGATTTCTGCCCCCAGGAGAGACAAGGGCTGGGCTCCACCTCCTCCTGGACTCAGGCTGGTTTCTTGCCCAGACATAGTCTTCTTAGTCTGATGGAATATTTTCTTCTTGTTGTGGGTTTCTTAAATGAAACTTATTAAAATGTGCTAAAACAGAAGTCAGTGTTTGAGGAAAATATGTGCTAAAGAAAACAAATCCCCAATTCTAATTTATCTGTGATGTAAATATGGGTTTTCATTTACTAGACCTGCTTAAAACAGGGTATGCCTGAAACGAAGGATACAAACGTACTGAAAACTACACTTCTCTATTTAGAAAAAAAAAGAAAAAAAAAACCACAAAATATTGTGAAAAGGATAACAGTGAAATGAAACTATGTAGTATAATCCAGAAGCACTGATTATATCCCAGAGGGCTGTTAAATCCAAACAGTCTGAACATTAATGGCAAAACAAGCCAGGTACTGCCTTCGTCCCCATTCTTCTTTTCTGCAATCCCCTAAAGAGATGCATGAGATGGAATCCAAACCAACTCAGACAATAATTTCTTTCTTATTTCCCCAGGGGAGGGGAAGTAGTTTTCTTAAAGAATTATTTGTTTCCACAATGGAAACTGTATGCACTTGAATAACAATACTTAGCTCAACACTTGGGACATTGAGACCACTGTAGACAAACCCCCGAGAAGACATGCCCCAAATCTAAATCTCATCTTTCTTTCAGAGTCAAAGGCATGATACAATCTCAGGTTATTTTATAAACTGGATTTCTAGGACTGGTTTCATTTTCCTGGAATACTGTGATAAAAGTTAACTTTTGTATTGCTATATACAAAGCTCTCCTTTAAGCATTTTAGACTTAATTATCTCACTAAATCCTTGTAGCAGTCCTATGAAATGGTACCACATGGTCTCTATGGATGAAAAAAATAAGGTTCAAGGTTTGAGTTACTTGTACAAGATCATGTAATTCTAGAGCTGGAATTCAAACCCAGGTGGCCCAATCCAGAGTCTGTGTCCTCAGTGACTCCTCTCCCAGGGTTACCTTGGTATTCCTACCCTCAGGACATCCACTTGGCTCAGGATGCCACGTCTGGGGATAGCTCAAGAAAGAGGGTGATACAGTGACTATAATGAAGGGTCCTAATGGGTTCAGTTGCCTAGTCCAGCGGTCGCTACCGACAGCCTGGTCATCATGTTCTCTATGTACCTTCAGGAGCCCCTGCTCAGGCAGTAGGATATGAGATGCAGGAGAGTGTGCCCAACCTTATAAAAGCTGTAACTGGAAAGAAGTCTTCACTGTCCAGAAGTCAATAAAATGAGTTTAACACCTCCCCTCTGAGCTTTCAGAGAGCCCAGTGCTGCCCCTCATCATCCACATTTGTTCATCAGATTTTTAAATACCCCAAGGGCAAAGAATGTCTTAACCCATTCCGTAGAGTCACCATGACAGTCACATGGTCAGTGTCATTAAAACAAGCCAGGGCCTGTCTCAGTCACCACCATCCCCTTTCATTATTATGATTATTGCTGAGAGAAGTTTTCTAGCTACTTTTAAGTTTACCTTTTCCAACATAAAATATTTGCAATTTAAAATCCATTAATTTTGATATGTCAGAATATATCTTTAAAAATCCCCCCTTTCTAGAATGGAAGACATAATGTATCCCCTTCTCTGATTGAACATGACGACTGTCAAGAGTCTCTATGCTGATGAGGACCCTAAGGGCTGCTACAGGACGACCAACACTGACAACACCTGGCTCTATACTTTTATAGGCGATATTTTACATTATCTGAATCAATTGTAGAGGATATTGACATTTTATACGTAGAAAAGAGGGGTTCACTGCTGATGGGTCATCAAAAAGATGTGCCAAGCTAGTTAGCTAATAATCAAAAGGTTGAGCCCACTCTGCACTCATTCAAAACTTCTAGAAAGAGGCACCTGTATGTGGCATCTGTGGCTACCAGGGGCAGAGGATCTAGCTGGCCTCAAGTGCACAGGGCCCAGCACAATTCCAAAGCTCCCCCTTCAATGCCCCTGGATTAATAAAAATGTTGCTCCCTCTCTGGACTTCAGGGCTAACCATGCATCCTTCCTCTATATTCCCTCCACACCAATTGCTTCAGGACATCAAACCTAAAGCCTCTTTGGGGACTTAATTTGCTCCTGGCCAAACAAGTCTTTTGCAGGATCCTAGCTGTCTATGGAAGGAGTCTCCTGGGACTGCAGGCTGTAAGGAGCAGCTCTCTTCACATCAATCTGCTCTCTGTTGAAAGGTTGTTCAGAAAGCCCAAGGGCCAGGCTGCTCCTAGAGGACTCAGGGAAAAAGTTTCCCTAGATCATCTGAGAATTAATTGCCTACAAACTCCCAAAGAACCTCTGCAGGAATGCAAAATAAATTATCTCGCCTCACCCTTCCTATAGATACAACCATCCAATAACCAGCCTTCCCATCTAGATCCTGGGAAACAAATGCTACCTTGCCCTTAGGATAAAAGATTAAAACTATTAAAATAATTATCCCCTAGATATATATTCTTCATGGTATTTCTAGAAGGTTATGAGCAGCAAAGAACAATCAAAGATTAAGGTGGGTTTGTTGTTGTTGTTGTTGTTGTTATTATTATGTCTGAGATGGGTCTTGCTGTGTTGCCCAGACTGGATCCTAATAGTGGGCAATATAAGTTCTTACCTTCTGCATTGAACCAGGAGCATTATTTTTGAAAAATCCATCCAAACAAGTGGAGGATCAGGAATGGGATAAAATCCTTTGTTTTAAACAACATGTTTTTATATTTTGACCAAGTAATATCTAAGTGGCTATACAGAATAGGTTGTGGCAGAACTACATGCATCTGAACAATTGTGTTGCTCAGCAATATATTCTGTGCCAGTTGACCACAGTGTGGAGAAGCCTATCTCTAACCACCATTGAGTTAAATGCATGGAGGGACTCCATTGAAGTGCAAATACTGGTGGCCCAGGAGCCTCTCTTCTGGCTGATGACAAGGCAGAATGTGGCTTCTGCCCATTCAGCAGCCGGGGCCAATGGTGGCTCCTTGAGGAAACTACAGGGTGATGCGGGGTAGGGCCCACTTGTCTGGGAGTTTGAAGAGATAACAAAATGCAGTCTGACCAATTCTGACCAATGTATACAGAGACATTAGCAAAGATACTTGCAACAGTGTTGGTTATATTAGCTAAACCTTACCAACAACCTAAACTCCCCAAAATAAAGGTCCACATAAATATATTGTTATATCTAAAAATTAGAATTCTATGTAGCTATTGCAAAGAATACTTCTCAACAATATGACTGAAAAGTCATATTTCTAAATAAAAGGTCATCAGACAATCTGTAAAGTTTGACCCAAACTTTGTAATCAGTCATACACATAAACACACGTACTTTCATATAGGACAAGGAAAAGCCCTCCAAGTTTATACTGCAGCATGCTCATAGTTATTAAAATGGTGGGAGTATATATTTTTTCCTTTTCTTTTTGTATACCAAATGTGTTTTCCAAAATGTCTATAGTAAACACAATATTTTAAATTAGCCTTTTCAAAACACAAACTGTTTTTTGAGTCCAAAGCATTGCTTCCTTCTCCACATTTTAATATTTCTAAAATTGGGACATATTTTAAAATCAACATGTACATTTAATGTAGGGTTTCTTTAACCCCAAAATGCTATTGTTAAATCAATAATGTCTAATAACTGAAGAAATGTGATACTTGCAGTGAGATAAATTAGCAAAAGTAGAGTGGTCTTACTGCCTTGGGCTGTGTCGGAGCTGGTGGGCTTGATGACCCTGTTTGCATCCTCATGCAGAGCTCCAAACCAGTCTTTCAGCCGGGAGGCAAGATTCCTCAGTTCCTTGTCCGTGCAGGCTGGAAAAAAACAAATAGAACAAACAGTGAGTCCTGCGTTTTCTGCCCTCAGTGTGCGAGGCTATTGGGAAAGTCACGTTCAAAGCAAACCTCAATCACAATGTAGATCCCAACTTTGCTCTGAAAGTACTCCAAAGGATGCTGCCATCACAAGTAGAGTAAAACAAAGAAGAGCCTAAATTCCCAGGACAGTCAGCATTGTTCAGACATAAATTTGGATAGCCTACATGTTGGTAAAGCAAGCTGCACAAGCCTCTCATTTGTGTGTGCAGCATCCTCAGAAGACCAACACTGATCCTTTTTGCTAACCACATACAACTTGCTATTGCACATTTGCCAGAGCAAATTACATTTTCCACTATACTCATGCCAAGAGATTAACACCCAGCAATAGCTAATGCTCTTAGGGAGAGGCTGCTTAGGACACCAAAAGATTCCAGTAATAGCAGATTCTCCAGTTTGTTTTAGCTCAAGAGTTCAATTTGAGTTTGGGACTTATTTTTCTAGGCTTCCTATGGACTCATTCTTACTTTCCATTATTGACAGATGGATGCCTTCTCCATGGAAGAGTCTTTTATGTCTCAGCCCATCTATAACTATCTGGCTCGTTTGGGGGGATATGAGTTGGGGCAGATGGATACTCCTGAGGAAAGAAAATACAGATGGATGGATGCACAGGCAGGTGAGCAGATGAGTACAGCTATTTGAAGTTGTCTTAGAAGTCTGGAATAAGACTTGATAGGAGAAACCCTAAAGCAGAGAAAAGGATGCAGACAGGAGCTGACTTTGCCTATTTTCCTGACTCTGCCTCAGGGAATGCTTTAATTTTGAGTTTGAGAATCCTGGCAAAGGATCCAGGCAGTGGGCCGTTACCAAGAGACAGAAAAACCAGCAATGCACTTTGTGGCTTTTAGCAATTGGGGAGAGAAATTAGAAACCCACATAGCCAAAATCCCAATGAATAAGGGATGTGGGGAGGAACCCCATAACTATCACTTTTCCCAAATTCTAAAGCTCCACCAGCAAGCAGCTAAGCAGTCAAAAGCTCAGTGTTGCACAGTGAGCCAAGTTCTGAGTGTCTCCTGATGCTAAAGGCTCAGAAGCCACCACACATCTAGACTCATCCTCACCTGGGTACCTAACCAGCCTCCAAACAGCACAGACCCTGACTGAATTGAGGTGCCCAGCTCCCATCTGCCTTGCAAAGGCCAGGTGACTCTTCACCAGAAGAAAACACCACCATACAGAGCCTCTCCTCATGTCTGTTTTCCATATCTGCTTTACAGTCCAGCTCATCTTTCCTCACCCTGGAGCCTGGTAGAAAAGCCAGTTTCCCAGACCTCCAGCAGAAAAGATGTCTCCTCATCCACCAGTGACTAGGCCCAGACTGGCTTTATGCAACCTAAAAGCTACTTTCATTCCAGCTAATATCCAGACTTCAAACTCTGCAAAGTACTACCTGGATGTGTGTTCAGTGCTTATACCCAAGTTGCTAATTACCTCAAGACACTTCCTTGCTTTTACCAACGAGGACATGACCATATTTTAAAACAGCCACCAAGAAATGTCTTCACAACCGCATAAAAGGATGTGGGCTCTGTGGTCAATCTCACATTTGAAATTGGAAAATTCATAGCATCTATGTTTTCTCTCGCTATGCACACCATCTATTCCAAATGTTCTCTGAGCAGAGAAAATTGCCAAGTCAACTTGCAAAGGAAATCACACACTGCAAGATAAATTACTCAGTTGTGTTTAACTAAACCCTGACAGATGTGCAGGTAATCTGTATCTTTACAAGACTCCTGGATTTCCCATAGGCTTCCCAAAGTACACAGGCTGTGGATGGTTGATGGAATCAGGCACCGGAATCTTCAGAGAGTGAATCTTGTCACTCAGGGACAGATCCACAAGCAGGGAGCTGCTGGCATGGATAGAGAGAGATTGGAAAACCAAAATGGAGATAGGCCCTCAATAGAGTCCAAAGCCCTGTTCACTCATACTGCCCTCAACAGAGAAGTCCTTAGGAGGAGAAAGTCAGGCATATTCAGCCTAGAGCTTGATATATTCCAGAGGAAAAAAGTAATCAAAGATGACAGCCTGCAGAGAGCTGTTTGTTCAGATTTGGTTCTCCAGCCACAGTACACAGATGTACATGGGAGGAAAACACTTGCTTTTTAAGGGTTCATCTCCACCCTGGACAAAATTTCTAACCTGTGATTCTTGCTTTCAGAAGTGAGGGACCCAAGAGTCCTTGCAATATACTTAGTACCTTCCTAGGGAAAATTAATTTTATGGGGAGGAAAGTGTAAAATCATATCCACCTGCTGTTCCTGCACTCTGCCCTGAAGTGGGCCAGTCTTATCATTTCTAATGAGGATTCCTGCTGCTCTCCACCCTTCCTAGTGAGAGATGAAGGTGCTCAGCATCAGTCTTCAGAGGAAATATGGTGCTGTCTAGGGAAGCATTTAGTTAAGTCATGAAGATCAGAGAACTGAGCTATTTTGCCACTACATTACTTTCCTGAGTAGATGAGTACCAGCTAGCCCCCTTGTTCTCCCATGTTCAGTTATACACCCTTCTGGCTTCCTCCTGGATTTCAGCTTGCTTTGTGTTGTTCTCATTCTCCCAGTAGTCTCTGCTCAGCATCTTCCATCTCAATGATGTTTCCCCATTTGCCTTCCTGTTTCTCCAGGTCACTTCGTACCTTTCTTACGTGACCCCAATCTGTTCCAACATTGGCATCATTTCTGGGATCCACTGATTCCCAAGGTGAGCATCCTCTCACAGGAGGTACCCAGATATTCAAAGCCTCAGGTAAACACTTAGGAATTGTACTAGATTTGTCTTCTGTACCCTCCTTATCAGTGGGCCACAGAATGTTTGCTTCTTGCTATCTCTGCCTTTATTCCAGTCCATAATGCCCCAGGGACATCTGGAACAGGCTCCAAATTGAACTCCCATCTTTCTCCCCACATTCTCTTTTTCATCCAGCAGCCAGAGTGACCTTTCTAAAATGGATATTTGTCACTTCCCTTCTTGAGCTACTTCAAAGGCTCACACTTACTGTGTAAGTTAAGTCATAACTTCCTGGTATGACCTAAGTGATGGTAGGGTCCATCACTAAAGACCTTGCTGTCTCCCTTCTGCATTCTACCTGCTTTGGCCTCCATGTTCTGTCCTTCCTCCCATTCCTTCACCCTTTCACCTGGACATACCTCTCCTTGTCTCCTTGACAATGCCAATGTCTCCATTATATCTCAGTTTTAAGGTTACTTCCTCTCTGAGTACTAGTTCCTAACACTCGGACTTGCTCCTCAGATGACTTTTATCCCACATCTGATTTCTCATTCAATGCCCATATCCCCCTAGATCACAGCAACATAAACATGTTCTGAGATTCCTCAACATCAAACACAGCCTGGCATAGAAATGCTCTCAATATACACCTACTGCGGGGCTGTCATAACCCCCTTGTTGCCTTTTGAAAGTTGCAATTTTTCCATCTGCAAAATGGCATAATAAAACTTAGCTAATAGCATCAGTAAAACATGGCTCATAGCTTCTGGCCTTCAGCAGGGACTCAATAAATTTATATTCTCCTTTCCATACCCCAACTGTTTACATAAAGTTAGAATTGTATTGTTATGCTTTATTTTTAAGCCTGGGGAGTTGCTGGTTGCATAAAGAGTAACATGTCTCCTTACTTCTTTTATAGGCTAGTCAGTCAGAAGTTCAAGAGATTTGGGTTGCAGTTTCTGTCTGCCTTCTCTCAAGTGGATAAACTCCACAGTGGGGGGATTGGTCTGACTTCCCCACACCTATGTTCCTAGCACTTACCATAAAGTGTATGTAGTAGTTGTTCAAAAGAAAACATGAATGAAAGGACACATGAGTTACAAATTCCCAAGGTCAAATGCTATTATGTTGTAGAGTCGGGACTTGAATGCCATCACTGTGTGTGGGACTGGTTCCCTGGATAGATTGGGCTTGCAAGTTTCTAGTCCTCATGTATGCCATTAATATACATGGTCCAAGCTCTGGGTTGAAAGAAGTACAAATGTCAGGTCCTTGCATGTAAAGGATGCTCTATAATGACACAGGCAGGCAGCTTGCTGAGCGATACAGGACAGAACAAGCCCTTACCTTCATTAGCTTTGGTGTGAGAACAATGGCCTTTTGGGAGGACTGCCAGAACAGCCTGCTACACGTCACATGGGCAGCCACTAGGGCTTCATTAGAGAAAAGCATAGTGCCATTGCACATTACTCCACAATGTGAAAAAAAGACAGGTCCCTCCCCTAGGAAAGCAGAGCACACAGGCAGGGAAGGGCCCAGGTAATCTGAGGCTCTCCCAATGGACTTTGCCTGTCTGGAAAATATGACTGAAATGCAATAAGCAAATGTAAATGAGGCACATGCCATATCCATGGAAGGTAGATAGCACCGGGAAACAGATGTGATGGCCATTTCCACCTGGGAACCTTCTCGACCCTCCATCCAAGGGTGTGGAGCTTTAAAGTACTATGAGCTAGCCTGGATTTGAATGCAGACAGCATTGAAGAAAAGCCTGAAGTACAGCATAAGCAACCCAGTTGACAGAAGTGGAAAGGACTCACTGTTGCCAATACTGTAGAAGAAGCTCTTCCAGGATTACTGCAACAGCCCTGGAGGTTAGAGAAGGGCAAGGGAGAGGACTGATCTCATAATATTTGCTTATGGGGCAGTTAGGCTGCCTGGGCAGCAGATAATGGGGGAGGTAAGGCATTGCTTCTGATCTGAATGAATGTCACTAGCCTATCTCCGCCTAACCCTGGCCCCTGTGTTCCATCCTCCCTCCCAAAGTCAAGGGCTAATGAAGAGCTAGCTAGGAAGAAAGTTTCAAAATTTTGAGAAAAACAATTTTCAATTAGAAAATAAAGCTTCTTTAAAAAGTACTCCCAAAGGCTCTAACTGGTATCCGAACCTGTTTTCAGCTTATTGATGACTTTGGGGGCAGA